TCCCGGAGGTCCGCGGGAGGCCCCTGGGCGCTGGTCCTGGCTGCCTTCTGGGCGAGAAGCGTCGGACGTGTCCAGCCAGCCCCTCGGCCATTGCCGCAGGGACTCACCGGCCTGCCTTTTTCTCGTGGCTGACCTGCGCCTCTCCCGTGTGTGCGTAGTTCCGTCTTCATAGCCTCTTGGAAATCCCGCTCAGCCGGACCCCTTTCTGTCCGAGCCTCCTTCATTCCCCTTTCAGCTCTTCCTGCTCCTCTAGCGACTGCTCATTTGCAGTCCACATGCTCGTCCTGCTCACTGTGACAGCACTCTTCTTCCTCTTGCTTCTGAACTTCTTGAAGGAAGGAGTGCAGTCATACTTGTAACTACCGACTTTATTTCTTCATCCCCTGCTTCCCCTTCCTTAACGCTGTAGTGTGGAGACCAGCACTCCACAGAAACTCCTCTGAAAGCTCGCTGGTGACTTGTTGATGTTCACATTCAGCTGCCATTTTTCAGTCTCCACTATGGACTCTCCGCAGCCTCCCATGCCCTTCTCTGAATCTCATTTCTTACCAACCTAGTGATATTGCATATTTAGGATTCTCCCAAATCACAGTGCCTCCTTTCTTTGTATTCCTCTCCGGGAATGTAATTATTTCCTTTACATAAATTTAAGTTCCTGTCTCAGTTCAACTTCAGTTATCTTGATATCACCTCAAAAGCACCACAGAAAAACAGCCGTATACTATTAGTTTCTGTGATTGTTGGGGCCAGGAAGGCTAAGGTAGAGAGCAAAGTTATCCTGACAAATAATCTGTGTAACCTAGCATGGTGTCTACTTTAAAGAACATTCAAACGTTAGCTAGTATTTTTTATATCACCCATTCATTGTTTATTTAGATGTATCTACTTTTATCTCTTTTCTTCAAAGTTGGGCCCTTTTACCCACTTCCTTATCAGCTTCATTGGCCTCTCTGGCTTTATGCACATTAATTCATCAACTACATGTGTATCAGGTCCACACTAGGTTCTGAGGATACAGAGATGGATGAAGCAAGGTCCTTATCTCATTTGTTGGAAATACATATTCATTATTCTATTAGCTTGGGCTACTGTAACAGAATACCACAAACGGGTGCTTTAAAAACAGAAACGTATTTTCTCACAGGTCTAGAGGCTGATGGGCCAAGGTCAGGGTGCTTGCAAGGTTGCTCTACCTGTTGTGCAGATGGCCACCTTTCTGCTGTGTACTGACACGGCCTTTCCTCTGTGAATGGGCTTTCCTGATGTTTCCTCCTCTTAGGCCTATTGGATTATGGCCTCATTTAACCTTAATTGCTTCTTTAAATAGTATTTGTCTGCAAATACAGTCACATTTGTGGTTAGGGCTTCAACATATGAATTGGGGTCCGGGGAGGGGGTGGGGGTGCGGAGGCGTGACAATGCTGTCCATAACAGTTATGAGAAGTGCGTTGCTGAACTAGTAGTAAAAACAAGGTAGCTTGTGTCCCAAAGGATTACTCATTCTTTCTAGGATGAGGTTTCAAGAAGAAAAGCTCCATCTGAGAAGGGATGTTCCATTTGCTATTGCTATGTCACAAATCACCCCAAAACTTAGTAGCTTAAAACATGGTCATGTCATTTTATTTTATTATCTCTTAGGATTCTGAGATTTAACTGGGCTCAGCCAGGCGGTTCTCACTTGGGGTTGTGCAGTTTCGGTCATATGATGGCTGGGATCGGGATTATCTTAAAGGTTGATTATGGTTGTCAGCTGCAACTGGTTTTAAGGGGAGGGGACATAGAACAAACGTTGATGGGAAGAGTGTCAGCGTCACTTTGTAAAAAAGAACATGTGGAATGGAACACCATTTTTTTTTCCTAGTTAAAGCATTGTTTATGGAAGCAAAAATTCAATATCTGTTTTTTTCTCTTGGTTGGAAACAGAAAAATACATAAACAAAGCCATACAATGAAATATTATATAGCAGTTAAAATAAATTTAAAAAGAGCTTCATTTATCAATATCTTGTGAAAAAAGTAAACTACAGGCTATGCATCATGACATACCTTGTGGCCATCGTACTGACTTGCATGGGATAGCCCTGGAGAAGAAGTGGGATTTCTCCACATGGAAGTGGAGGAATGAATTCACCTCGGCAGAGAGAACCAAATGTGAAGAAGTACATAGTTTGGGAACAGCAAGTTGAAAGGTATTCTTTAAGAAGAGGAAGAAGAAAACAAAAAATGATTAAAAAAAATATATTAGGGCAAGGACCTTATGGTAGAGAAATGTCAAGAAATGATGCCAAGCCCTAACCGGTTTGGCTCAGTGGATAGAGCGTCAGCCTGCAGACTGAAGAGTCCCAGGTTTGATTCCGGTCAAGGGCGTGTACCTTGGCTGCGGGCACATCCCCAGTGGGGAGTGTGCAGGAGGCAGCTGATCGATGTTTCTCTCTCATTGATGTTTCTAACTCTCTGTCCCTCTCCCTTCCTCTCTGTAAAAAATCAATAAAATATATTTAAAAAAAAAAAAAAAGAAATGATGCCAAGAAGGGCCTTTTTGTATTTATTTATTTTTAAAATCTTTATGTTGAGAGTATTACAGATGTCCCCCATTTTCCCCCACATTGCCCCCCTCCACCCAGTTCCCACCCCGCCCCAGGCCTTCACCACCCTGTTGTCTGTGTCCATATGTTATGCACATAAGATCTTTGGTTAATCTCTTCCCCTCCACCCCTATTCCCCCTAGATTCGTCATTCTGTTATATGTTTCCATGCCTCTGGTTCTATTTTATTCATCAGTTTATTTTGTTATTTAGATTCCTTGTTCATTTATTTTGATTTTTAGATTCAATTGTTGATAGATATATATTTATTGCCATTTTATTGTTCATATTTTTTATCTTTTTTTTTGTTCTTCCTCTTCTTAAAGAATACCCTTCAACATTTCATGTAATACTGGTTTGGTGGTGATGAACTCCTTTAGCTTTTTCTTGTTTGTGAAGCTCTTTATCTGACCTTCAATTCTAAATGATAGCTTTGCTGGATAAAGTAATCTTGTTTGTAGGTCCTTGCTATTCATCACTTTGACTATTTCTTGCCACTCCCTTCTGGCCTGCAAAGTTTCTGTTGAGAAATCAGTTGACAGTTGTATGGGTGCTCTCTTGCAGGTAACTAAATGCTTTTTTCTTGCTGCTTTTAAGATTCTCTCTTTGTCTTTAACAATTGACATTTTAATTCTGATGTGTCTTGGTATGGGCCTCTTTGGGTTCCTCTTGTTTGGGATTCTCTGGGCCTCCTGGACTTATAAGTCTACTAGAGGTCCGGTGCACGAAAATTTGTGCACAGAGGTGGGGGGGCCCTCAGCCCAGCCTGCCCCCTCTCACAGTCCAGGAGCCCTCGGGTGTTATCCTACTGACTGCTTAGGCCCGCTCTCCATGAGGAGCGGGCCTAAGCCGCAGTCTAGCCTCCCTCTGTGGCAGGCAACCAGGCTGATCAGGGGAAAGCACTGCCCCCATCACCCCATTGCTGCTGCCACTGCCGGCCATGGCGGCGGTGAGGCCTGAGCCCCAAGCCTCACAGCCACCGGAGCCCATGGCTGCTGTGAGCCCATGGCTGCCGTGAGCCCCAGGCCTCACAGCCGCCGGGGCTCATGGCTGCCTAAGCCCAAGACTGCCTGAGCCCTGGGTCCTTGCAGCCACTGTGGCTTTGCCCGGATGGACGTCCGGAAGATGTCTGCCCTAATTAGCATATTACCCTTTTATTAGTATAGATTTCTTTCACCAGGTAGGAGAAGTTTTCTGTCATTATTTCTTCAAATAGATCTTCAATATCTTGCTTTCTCTCTTCTCCTTCCGGCACCCCCACAATACAAATGTTGGTATGCTTGAAGTTGTCCCAGAGGCTCCTTACATTATCTTCATATTTTTGAATTCTTCTTTCTTTTTACTCTGCTGATTGGGTGTTTTTTGCTTCCTTATATTCTAACTCGTCGATTTTATCCTCAGCATCCTCTATTCTACTGTTGAATCCCTGTAAATTATTCTTAATTTCAGTTAGTGTATGTTTACTTTCCAACTGGTCCTTTTTCATGTTTTTGAAATTTTCACTAAGATCCTTGAAAGTCTCACTAAGTCCCTTGAAGCTCTCAGTAAGATCCTTGAGCAACCTTATAACCATTGTTTTGAACTCTACCTAGTAGTTTTCTTGCTTCTATTTCATTTAGATCTTTTTCTGGAGATTTCTTCAGTTCTTTATTTGTGACATGTTTCTTTGTCTCCACATTTTGGCTGCTTCCCTGTGTTTGTTTCTGTGTATTAGGTAGAGCTGCTGTGTCTCCTGGAATTGGTAGAGTGGCCTTATATAGTAGGTGTCCTATAGGACCCAGTGGCTCAGCCGCCCCAGTCACCTGAGCAGGCACTCTAGGTACATCCCTGTGTGGTCTCTGTGCATCATCTTGTAGTTGAGCTTTGATTGCTGTTGGCATAACTGGGAGGAATTGACCGTTAGGCCAATTGGCTGTGAGGACCAGCTGCAACTGTAGTGGAAGAGCTGCTGTGCAAGAGACACCCCTCTGGAGCAGGACTTGCTTCAGTGGATTTTTAGTGCTCACTTAGTCTGCCCCTTGAATGTGTCACTTGTGGATGT